AGAAGCCCGGTGGGGCCGGAACCTGACGCCCTGCCACTCGTGCCGCGGGGAAGCCGGCGCTCGCAGGGAACTTACGGAGTTCTCCGAATGATCGGAGTCGGAGAATGAATTTTTTTTTTTTCTTTTTTCCCCCCCTCAAGCCATTTTCATACAGGGGGACTCCACAGCCAAGCTGTTCAAGGTTGCAAAATCCCAACTCCAAAGGCTCCAACGTCCATTTCTCCCGCCGCCGGCTCCCTCCCAGCCTGTCCGGCCGGACAAGTAGCCGGGCACTGGTCACCAGTAAAGCAGGATGGAGGCTGATGGGGTTTGCTCCGTGGCTGGAAAGCTTTTAAGGACTGAAAAGAGGGAACTGGATAAATCCAGAGGCTTCCCCTGGAACATGTCGCCAGATCTGCTGCAGGGGGGAGATAACAAAGAGTTGAGCTGGGCAGGTGGACGGGGAAAAGCTCCGTCCTGGCGCCGGCAACGCTCATTTGCTGGGATTTATCCATCGGGAGGAACAAAAGGAGAGAGCATCCTTCATCGGAGACAGGGACGCATCCAGCTGTACGACCCACAGCCTGGCTTCGGCCCTGGGGAACAGAGAAGCTGCTCACGGAGGCAGCTGGAGCGTTAGGAACAGCGGGGAGGGGTTCTTTAGAGGGGAAGAGTTTTGTGTTTTTGTGGTGAGAGCCCTGGTTTTGTCCCAGAGCTGTGGATCTGCTCAAACACCACCAAAAATCCCCACCCTGGATCCTCCTTCCCCAGCACATCCCAGGAGAGAGGTCCCACGGCTTTGGGCAGCGTCCAACCCAGATTTGTGGGGTCTCTGTCCAAAAAGAAAACCCTCCTGCTAAGGGTCTCGCCTTTTCCACTCACCCAGACCCCAGATGAAAACCAGCATCCCGCGAGCCCCCGGCACCAAACCCCCGCTGCTCCAGCTCCTTCCCCTGAACCCCCAACACGGCGCCGAGCTCCAGGACCGACCGAATTCCCGATCGAATTCCCGGCGCGGCGTCACCAGAGCTGGGACACGGGCGAGACACCTCCCAGCCCTGTAACACAACGCCGCCGCTGCCGCAGCTCCAAACTCACCCGGGGATTTATTTTTTTTGCTTTCACGAAACCCAACCTTCAGCTTCCCATCCTGTCACCGTACGGCTCCGGATCATTTTCCCCCTGAATCCGTATTTCCCTGGGAATTTCTCCCCATATTTCCCTGGGAATTTCCCCTGTATTTCCCTGGGAATAGCACACCAACCCTCCAGACACCTCCATTAATCTCATTTTTCTTTTTTTCCCCCCAAAACAAAGCATCAGCTGGCAATCTTCACGCAGAGGCACCTCGCTCGGCAGCTGGAGCGGCTTCGGAGATGGAGAAGAGCGCGGCGGGGGGCTGAGCGCGGCGGCATCGCTCCCAAAACGCTCGTGACACCCCCAAAACGCTCGTGACACCCCAGGCTGCGACCAGAGAGGTCGAGCACAGGTTTTCACAAAGGCCCTTTGAGGCGGCCGATGCACGGTTCCATTTTCCAAAGAGCTCCAGCCTCGGGGATAATGGGAATGGATGGGGGATGAGCTCTTAGAAAAGGAGAAAAAAAAAAAAAAAAATCTGGGGCTTTCGGCTTTGCAGCCGTGAAATGCCGGGCGAATGAGAACAGCCGAGTGCGTTTGAAAGAGGAATTTGCGGGGGA